TTTTTCCTTACTTCTGTAGGCTCCAAAAGAACACAGGAAGTTGCTCTTTTCCCCCAAGACTTCCATGATAATCAAGGAAGGGAATGTTGGCTAGAACACTGTATTCTTTTGGAAATGTGGCATGGGATTTTGAATTTCCATGGGCAAAATTACCCTGTCTGGTAGAGTCTAGACTCTCTGCTAGCCAACAGGCTTGCTGGAGTCCACGCTGGCACCCAGAGAGGCCTGTGGACTGATAGTCTGCGAAGGGAACAAATCACCTAGAAGTATGCTTGGTAGGAGGGAGAGGAAAACCTCACCACCTGAGCAGTATCCTTGAAGCAGTTTGAAACTTGATAAATGACAGCTAATGAAGGACAATCTTCAAATCCTCCTGAAGTAGTAAAGTAGAGGGAGTTGGGAAACACCTCCATTGTCTAGTAGGGAGAATGCTCTCACAGATCAGAACATCAGAGAGATGAGACCACAGTGAAGGACAAATTCTCACGTCCGCCTATACTTCAGGGAGAAGGCATTGCAACCTCAGCCACTGCCGCTCCCCATTGCATGGCCAACCTTCACAGGTAGGCCCACACTTTGGTGCACCCCTGGATCTGTGGAGCCCAAGCCAGCTTTGACACACTGAACTTCAGGCCCCAGGACTGAGTGAGGCTTTGACTGCTGAGGCCCAGCCCTGGTGAAGGGAATGACATTTTCTGCTTACCACTGGCTGCTGAAATATCCTCAGTCCAAAGGCCTGAATGCCTTTGACATTTCCCTCTGGGACTAATATTCAACATGGCTCCATTGCTCATGTAGAAAATGGTTCAAGGAAAAAACTTTCTTCCTCCTCAAGAGAAAACATGGAGGAAATGAGCGGACCGATGTCTCAGGATGCTGTATGTGATGACTAGTCACTGATGTCTGAAAGCATCTAAAAGATATTCCTAGACCAGCTCAGGCTGAAGGCACCTGTTATGCATGGCCATGGCTGGTTTTTCATGAGAGCGCTGGGCATTCAAGCCAAAGTCCTGAGGAAGTGTTCTTACCGACTGAGCCATTCCCCCACCCCCTCCTGCATGCTTCTAGAAGGAACTACTTGGAGCACTTGGTAAGCTGAGAACTAGAACAAAGAAGGGACAGGACGTGCTCACAGCCTCAGGACCACTATTGACAGAGCTTCCCTGGGACCTTAAGAAAGTCCCTTCCACATGCCAGGGAGCTGGCTTCTTGGGGCTGTGAGGGAGCACCCGGGGGCTCAGAGGAAGAGACCTGGTTTGGAAGTCGACAGTTGTCCATTATCCTTTCATTTAGGTTCTGTGCCAACCTTCCGTTTTCTCTCCCACAGACAGTTTTTGAGCGGAATTGCCGATCTGAGGACTGCGCTGCCGACCTGCAGCTTCGGGGGAAACTCCTGCTTTCCAGGTACGTCACTGTTCCTTTCATGATGCTGTTCCAAGAAGCTGGTCTTTTTTTGACTCCAGACCCAAAGTCTGGGAGTCTAGATTTCCCCAATAAAAAAGGGTAAGCAGTATTAGATACTTTTGTGAGTTGGTTTTAGAATGTATGTTATAAATACAATTTTAAAAAACAGATATTACCAGAGGGACTAGCTGGGGTTCAGTTTGCGATTTTACCCCAACTCACAATTGACTGCTCCTTATAATTTCTGTTTGTGTGTTGAGAGGGGGCTAGACGTTAATTACGTTGCGTTAGATTGCACCATGAGAAACCGCCAGCATTTGACCTCTGGGCTTGGTCTCACGTGACTTAAGGTAGTATTATGTGAGGATCCCTTTCATCTTCCCCCTGACATTTAACAGTGGTGTCCGTTTTAGCAGCGGAACAGTTTCTGAAGCAGGACGGGGTGAAGGAAGGGGGCAGCCAGCCTGCCCATGCAAGCAGTCTCTTTATTATTTCAGGGCTTCCTCCCATAGTCTGCAAATCCCCCACGGCTAGAGATGAACCACAGCAAAGCCTTCTGTTCCCCTTCGCCAACCTTTTATTTCAGGTTTCCTTTGGAGTGACTGCTTGTCCTCAATCAGCCACATGTCAGACAATGGTTTCCTTCTGTAACACGAGTTCTGAACGATTTTATTAGCTTCGGGGCCAAGAACCCACTCCGTAAGATTTACAGTCACTTCTCAAAGCAACCAGCAGCATTGCTAGGTGGAAATGCTCGGTGGTGTACTTGCCCTTACCTGATACGTTGAGAGTTAAGTTTGAACCAGTGATGACACATACCCCGGGACCTTTTTGGTTTTGTCCTTTTGTGTTTTAGATAATGTCTTACATTGCCCAGGCTGGGCCCTAAACCCCATCTGCCTCAGCCTCTAGAGTGCTGGGATCACAAACACGCCACCATGCCTGGCTCCGGTGCTGTGACCCTGTCACTTTTCTGTGTGGGTGTGGGTGTACGGAAGTATGCATTCACACGTGTGCCTGTGGATCCTGACCCTGTCACTTTCGTGTGTGTGTGTGTGTGTGTGTGTGTGTGTGTGTGTGTGTGTGTGTAGGGAAGTATGCATTCACACGTGTGCCTGTGGATCCTGACCCTGTTACTTTCCTGTGTGTGTGTGGGTGTAGGGAAGTATGCATTCACATGTGTGCCCGTGGATCCTGACCCTGTCACTTTTCTGTGTGGGTGTGGGTGTAGGGAAGTATGCATT